GTTACCTGATTAATATATAACCTTTATCACACCAGTTCAAGAGAAAGTAATATCATGTAATAATTAGAAGTAAAAATGTTCCTTGTTAAGTTTGAAACTGATGCTCAAGAATTCGTAATAATACCTGTACAGATACTGGAATGCCCTGAAAAGTTACGGGTGCTGCAACCGCTGTAGCTGCAGGTGGTTGAGATGCTTCTTTTTTCTTCTGCATATAATAATTGAGATTGGCCAAAAATTCCGCTGGTGCAAACTGACGCAATAATTGATTCTGAGATTCCAACTGCGATACCTACTTGCAAAAGATATGAAAGAACCTTCATTAGAAAGTGTTTACCTCAGAGTACAGTACAAATAACATTCAAAGTTCTTTCTTGTTTTACATGCAGCCTTAGAGACAAAATTCTACTTAAACTATAATAACTAAATCTGGCTAGTTATTGTATATCATATTCACTAATAACCAACTTAGCACTCAATTTTTTGAAGCCGAACCTTCTACACAGTCGTACCAAAAAGCGAAGATCTAGAAAAACAAAATTCAAACTCAGAATTTCAAAATACCTTTGATTCAAGCTCAACAATTGTCGAACGAAGTATTTCAACCTCCTCTCTCACAGCATATGTTAAGTGAGTTTTCACAAGATCCTGGAACAATGCCTTATAACTACGCTTAATAAGTAACATAAAACCTATTTGACAATTTTATTAGATCATTTCAATAAAATGAAAAGTGGAAGTTGAAGAGACTTTGAAATTAATAAAGTTTTCTGAAAACAACCCTTCAAACTAGAAAACCAAATTATCGTAAAAAATTTTACAAAAAGACCTAAAAGAAAGCAACTGCATCAAAAACCAACCATAGCTTGCTCAATTTTATTATCAATTGCCACTACATTTGGACCACTGATCGCACTCGCAACAACAGTTCTAAATAAAAAAGTATACAGCTTTTTTTTAAAAAAAAAAGCAAATTCAAGCATCTGAAAACTAAAAAGTTCCAGAAGAAATATATATATATATATATATATATATATATATAT